GACACACCCTGCTGATGGAATGTAAATTGTGCAGCCACTTAAGAAAACAATCTTTAGCAGTTTTTCAAAAGGTTACCTTGTGATTCAGCATTCTTAGGTATATGCCCAAGAGAATGGGCGTCCAAGCAAAAACTTGTACATGAATATTTAAGGCAGCATTATTTGTAATAGCTAAAAAATGGAAACAAGTCTGATGTCCATTAGCTGATGAAATGACAAAATGTGATACAGACATACAGTAGTCTCCCCTTATGTGTGGGGGTACACACTTCAAGATGTTCTCCAGGTATCTGAAACCACAGACTTCTTCAGATGTCTGAAACTACATACAGTTGATATCAAACCCTGTATACTACTCTTTTTCCTATGTGTACATACCCACGATAAAGCTTCATTTATAATTTAGGTATAGTAAGATATTGACAATAATAATAAAGTAAAACATTTGTAACTTTTCTGCAGTAAAAGTAATATATGAATTTCTGGAATTTTCCATTTAATATTTTGAAATTACAGAAAGCAAAACCTTAGATAAGGGGGGCTACTTTACAATAAAATTTGTGTGGCGATGGAAAGAAATGAAGCATATGAATATAATTACAACAATACATTATATATCACAGTAGTTAGAGGATTTTGAAGGTACTCAACCATCAAGAAATGACAAAAATTTAAGGTAGTAGATACTTTAATTATCCTGAGTTGAATACTACCCCAAAAATATGAATAAAAACATCACACTGTGCTTCATAAATATATACAATTTAAAAAAGTAAAGCGAAGTACAGATATTCCTCAACTTAAAATGTGTTAACTTTTCTGAAGTTGAAAATACCACAATTCAAAAATGCGTTTAATACACCTACCAAGCATCATAGCTTAGCAACACAGTACACGTAGAAAGTCAGTTGTTTATCCTCTTGATCATGTGCCTGGCTGGAACTGTAGCTTGCTGCAGCTGCTCAGCATTACAGGAGAATATCATATGGCACTTAGCTAGATCAGGCACTGGTCAAGATTAAACTGGTTTCTGCTGAATTCATAGGCTTTTGTACCATCATAAAGTGAGTAAGTTGTAAGTTGAGCCATTATTAGATAGGGACTGTCTGTGCTACATGAATAAGTCTTGAAAAATATGCAAGTGAAAGAAACAACCACAAAAGACTGTGTGTGTGTGTGTGTGTGTATATATATATACTTATATATATAGTATGACTCCATTTAAATGAAGTGTCCAGAATAGGTAAATACTTAGAGATAACATAAATTAGTGGTTGCCTAGGACTGGAAGGGATGGGCAAGGTTTTTTTATGGGGTAATGTTCTAAAATTGATCGTGGTTATAATTGCACAATTTGGTGAATATGCTTCATTTTTTTCTCTGTTAGCATGTAATTGTACAAAGGGGTTTCATTGTGAATATGTTTTAAAACTTATTACACTTTAGATGGATGAATTACATATGAATTCCATCAATTAAGCTATTTTTAAAAACCTGTTTTAACAGCTCTACAAAGTCATAGTGGTTCTTCAAGTTTTTCTTCTACCTCATGCATTTAGGCAGAATCTCTACTACCTACTTTGTAGTGTGTTCAGTTCTTTAGTTCAGTAACTTAGAAAGCTTGCTTCTGTCCTATATTTTTTTCTATCCTGCAGTTTCCAAACTTGGTGTACTGTTATTTCATAGTATATTGGTAGCACTTTGAAATCTTTTCACTTCAGACAGTTCACTCTCACTATTGGAAGTCATTGGGACTGTGGTACCATGGGAAAAGGGCTGGATTAGGAGCTAGAGACCATGTGTTTCCTTCAGATTTTGATTCTGGTTATCTTTGTGACCTTGATCACATCACTTCTCTGGGTCTTAACATCATCTGTCAAAATGATCTCTCATCTTTTCATAGTCCATCTGTTCTGGAACTACTGTTACTAGGATTCTGAGAGAAGAATGAAGTTGGATTCTTTCCCAATATAGTTTTCAAATTTTAATGACTGTAAGAATGACCTCAGAAACTTCAAAATATGGACTTCTGGGTTGTGCTGGGAATTGAACTCAGGGCCTTGTGTACGCCTATGCAAGTGCTCTGTCATTGAACTACATCCCCAGCTGAGTTAGAATATTTTTAACAAGCAACCCCTATGATCCTGATGTGGATATCTGCAGATCACAACCCCCTAGAAGGTTCCCAATATGGCAAAATATTTTTCTTAGTTTATTGTAGAGGCTAAAGCCAGATGGTTTATTTTCATTTATTATAAACTAAAAAAAAAAATGACTATTCAGTTTAGTAGCAGAAATAGACTTTTTTTTTTCAAGTTGGTATCCTTTGGAGTTGGTTTGAAAGCAAGCCTTAAGGATTCTTTTATTTTGAAATGCCTTCAGAACAAAGAGGACTTTTAGATCCATTTGTGATCTGAGACACTTAAGTCATACTTTCCCATGGTCTAGAGAATATGTTTAGTATTCTAGTTTAAGTAAGGATGGTGAAGGTAGAGGGTAGAGTTTCTTTTGGCTTTTTCTCACTTCAGAAGGCAGGTTTGACTTATTTTCCATTAGAGCAAAGGAAATTAGTAGCTTTTGTGCGAAAGTGTTAATTTTATCACTGCAGATACTATCCACAAGAAAAATTTCACAACTATTTAGCTCAGTATTGGTATTATTTCTTTAGATTATTATTATTTGTCTCCTCCCTTCTTTGAGAGGACTGTTTTGTTTCCATTCTATAGTTCTTTACTTTTTTCCACTTCCTTACATTTCAAATAGATTTGTTAGCTGTTTCTTGGGATGTAGTTGTAGTATGTTGAGTCTGCCTAAACCACTCTCCTTATTTTAATATGACAAAGCATTTCCTTCCTCCTTCCCTACCCCTTTTCTTTCTTTTTCACTTGAGAATCTAAAAGCATTTATCAACAGGTAGTATTTAGATTATACTTCTTTAAACTGTGGATATCTTTTCACACAATTTTACTTTAATCTATAAATATTACCTTTAGCTTGGATGCCTAAACCCTTAAGTAAGGAGGTTTTTCTTTTCTCAATTTAAGAACACTGTGAGCAGGATAGCTCCACACAACTACTTCCCTTTGTTACTTACGCAGCGTTGACAGATATGCTGAGCTAAGACTCCCCTTCTCCACTGTCACCAGCTTCAGTGGATATTGCTAAATGATCACCACATTCTTTCTTACTAAACCAGTCTTGTCTTAGAATCAGCAGCAAAGCTCTGCATATCTATCTGCTGCATTTGCCCAACATCAGGCATCTCTATTTGTCACTTGGTTTTATATTTTATTTATAGCCATTAGTAACTTGTGAGGACCATGACAAAAGGAACTGACCAGGTTTCCCCCTTCTTGGTTTTACTGAGACATAATTGACAAAATTGTATAAACTTCAGGTGTACAGTTTAGTGATTTTATATATATAAAGATTGTGAAATGATTGCCGCAATCAAATTTGTTAGTACATCTGTCATTTCACATAGTTACCTTGTTCTGTGAACTTGGTGAGAACATTTAAGATCTACTTTTGGTAAAATAATACAGTATTGTTTAATATAGTCATGTGCTGTACTTTAGATTCCCAGGACTTACTTTTCTTGTAACTACCAGTTGTACTCTTTAACTGGCATCTCCCCATTATCTCCACCCCTGGTGTCTACCATTCTGCTCTCTGTGAGTTGTGTGTTGTTGTTTTCAATCCCACATACAAGTGAGGTCATGGAGTATTTGTCCTCTGTCTGGCTTCCTTCATCTAGCATAATGTCCTCAAGGTCCACTCATGTTGGCACAAATAGCCATATTTCATTCTTCTTAAGGATGAATATTTCATTGTGTGTGTGTGCATACACTTTCTTTTTTTTGTGGTGCTGGGGCTTGAACCCAGGTTCTTGCACATATTAGGTAAGCTCCCTGCTACTAAGCTATATCCCCAGCTACACCACATATTCATTAGCCATTCATTCTTTAGAGATTTAAGTTGTTTCTATGTCTTGGCTATTTTGAATAATGCTGCAGTGAACACAGAAATATAGGTATCTCTTTGAGCTACTGATTTTCTTTCCTTTGGCTAAATATCCAGAAGTGGGATTGGTAGATTATATGGATGTATTTTTAATTTTTTTGAGGACCCTCCATACTGTTTTTCATAATGGCTATACTCAATTTACATTCCTATCTACCGTGAATAAGAGTTCCCATTTCTTAATATCCTGGCCAACACTTAAATATTGTGGTTTTGGTAATAGCTACCCTACCAAGTATGAGGTGGTATCTCATTGTGGTTTTGATTTGCACTTCCCTGGTGATTGATGGTGTTGAGTACCTTTTTGTACTTGTTAGCTACTTGTAAGCAGCAGGGTATTTTTTTGTTTTGGGTTTTTTTTTTTGGCGCAGCGGGGGGGCTGTAATCAGGGTTTGAAAGCAGCAGGTTTTTATAACTGCCAGGTTAAGTATACTCTTCAGTGGTATTATGTAAGACATTCAGGTAGCTCTTATTGGGAAGCTCTGTCTGGGGAGCATGTCAGTCTCAATGCTCTTTTGGAACGCCTTTAAAGGTGGCTGTCTATTTTTTCACATACTTATTTATTCCTTCCTTTAAATTTTTTTTTGAAGATTTTAAAGTTAGGATATAGATCAAATATGAATAAGACACAGCCCTGGCATAAGGAACTAAAAGTCTTTGGAGATAATCTGATAAACGGGTCCTGTGTATGTGTATTGAGTGGGATGGGGAGAAAGAATGTTTAAAGGAAGAGGAAGGGGAGGGTGTCTTCATAGAGAAAGTGATGTTGAAGCTGAGTGTCTAGATAAGCAGGACTTTCCTGGGAGAAGAGGAAGAAAGGGTAGATGAACCTGTTCACGGGCAGGGACGTTAGAGTTTATTCTTTTGGCCTGAATTGGAAAATCCTTAGATAGATAGAATTTAAGCTAAGTTCCTAGGCAGTATTATGTGTTGGTAGCCATTTAATTTACTTAAAATTCCTCATTCCTGTTTCCCAGGAACCCGAATCATTTATGATCGAAAGTTTCTGTTGGATCGGCGCAATTCTCCCATGGCTCAGACCCCACCCTGCCATCTGCCTAATATTCCTGGAGTCACTAGCCCTGGCACCTTAATTGAAGACTCCAAAGTGGAAGTAAACAACTTGAACAACATGAACAATCATGACAGGAAGCATGCAGTTGGTAAGGGAATGCCAGTGTTGGGGGCCAAGAATGTGGCTTTGGGAAATAGAATGTCCGTTTTCTGTTGTAGGCTGAAAAAGTATATATCAGGTACAACTGATAGGGAACACACACACACACCCCCAGAGGGCCAGATGTGATGACCTGTAATCCCAGCTACTCAGGAGAATGAAGTATGAGGCTGGCCCAGGTAAAAGCAAAGACCTTCCTTATCTGAAAAAATAAAATGAAAAACAAAAAGACTGGGGGTACATTACTCAAGTGGAGGCCCTGAGTCCAGTCCCCTATAGAGAGGACAGAGGTGTGGCTCCAGTGGTAGAGTACCTGCTTTGCAAGCATGAAGCCCTGAGTTCAAACTCCATTTCCAAAGAGAGAGAGAGAGAGAAGAGAGAGAGAGAGAGAGAGAGAGAGAGAAACAGAATCTCATTGCTCCCATTTCCGTCATCCTTGGAAAATAGACCTTATTTTTGCCAAGAAGAATGGACATTGTTATGGTGTGAGAAAAGTAGTGTAGTTTGTTTCCCTTGTTTTCCAGAACTGCCTGTAACAACTTGTATAAATACCTTCTGCACACAGACACACAGTTTTATTTATAACAAGGCCTCCCTACCTACGCAGAATAGAGAGGTGGAAATGGCCAGCTCTTGTATATACCTCAGGTGTTGCACTTGTGCTTGGTGATGCCTGTGCCTGAGAAGCATTCTGCTGTCTGTAATTCCAGTTGAGTTTTTAATGGACAAAGTGTTGGTTCAGAGCATGGCCCAAATTCCAACCTTCCAGAATATTATGTTCACCTGATAGATGAAGCTGTTGTATAGTCAGCCTGTAGACAAAGGGACTCTGGAAAAGTTCACTTGTGTCTTTTTCCACAAGTGCTTTTTTTCCACTGGTGATGTGACTTTTTCCCCCCAGATTTAAAAGAATCTTTTTTTCATTTATTCTTATTTTTTGAGATAGGGTCTTGCTATGTAACCCAGGCTGGCCTTGAACTCATGATATTCCTACCTTAGCCTTCTAAGTGCTAGGATTATAGGCATGAAGCACTAAATCCAGCCATAAAAAGTGTTTTGAGGTACCAGAGAATGGGACAGTTTGAATTATTTGTAGGGAATGCCATTTAAAACTATTTTGCTTTTCTTTTTTGTACTAAACTTTTTTTTTTTCCTTTGTCTTAACCAGGGGACGATGCTCAGTTTGAAATGGACATCTGACTCTCCTGCAAGGAGCAGAAGAAAAGCAGCAACGCGGATACCTGTGTGTACCTGATTTGGCCAATATGATCAACAGTGAAAAGACAGAAGAGGCAGTACCAGCAGTCCCCAGTGCAGTCTCACCTCCCGTTTTCCCCTCGTGTGCCAAAAGATGGGAAGATGAGCTTTATCTGACCATTTCTTCTCCCTGTTTCCAGCCCCTGCCTAGCTACACAGATTAGCCTGAGGCTTTTGGGGTATTTCTGTAGAACTAAGCAGCCCATGGATGAAAACAGTTAAACTGGTTTCCTTGATCGTTTCTCTACTGAAACCCTCTTCTCCTCAGATTTATCCCAAATCTAGTATCAGTCTATCAATAGCATCCTGACTGGGATGGCTGGAAAAGAGATACAGGAGTTTGGCGAATTCATCATTATTCATGCTCTTTACCTTGTTTTCTCCTTATATCCCACCAGTGAGTTGACACTGAGTTTGGTATCTTTAAACCAGCAAGGGAAATGATAAACTTAAAAAAAGAGCTGCTTTCCCTTTTACCTTGAAGAGCTTGTCCTTAGGGACAGAGCACAGCTTGTGCAACTCTGGTAGCATTACCCTGTGACACTGTTTTGAAGTCCAGTTCTCTTTCCTCTGGGAGGAATGTGTCTGTCTCTGATATTGTAGCTCATCATCCCATTCCTTTCCAAAGGACATTTGTGCAGATATTTTTTAAGTTCTACAACAGAAGAGAGCCCTTGGTAACCAACTACTTTTTGCTCTTCTGCCATTCCTCCCTGCTTGGATCTTGTTGCTGGCAGAGTCCTCTTGTATTATGAGATATTCAGGTGATTTTGACTGCTCCCAGAGCAGGTCTACATGAAGTAATAGAGGCGTTTTGTCCTCCACTTGGTGGATAAGGCCTGATTATAGTATTCTGCCAGATAATACCTAGCAATGACCTCTGAAGAGTACCATTCTCAGTAGTCACTGTTTTAAAAATCCAGTGAACTTTGTGATATTTGTTGTCTTGAATTGCAGTTTCTTATATTTTAAGTTTAAAACCTTCAGAATGTTCTTAGACAAAACTATATTTTTTTTCCCAGTTTTGATCTGCTTCATTTGGCTGCTGGGATAGATGAGCATGGGCTTAAAAATGTGTTCCAGTTTTCTTGCCATTCCCATTGTACTTTGAATTTTCCCTTTCCTTTCTTCCCTCCTCCCTTCTCGTCTCTCCTTTTCCTTCCCTTTCCTCTGCTAGGCCATTTTTCAAATCTACATCTTAAGATACCTCAAGTGTTGGTATCTAATAGTATCTGTCACTTCTCTTATCTGAGCAGTGATCTTTTATTTTTAAAATGATGACAGACCTATTTTTAGATATGTTTTCAGTACAATTTTGAACAGCAACTTTTTAACTAAACATCTTCCAGTATTAGGAAGGTAAAAAATGTCCATAGGCGAGTCTGCTGTTCTGTGTCATTGTCCTTTGTCTCCCCTAGTTCCTTCTGAGCCCTTTTCTTCCTTGAGTTTTGAGTATGTGTGTTTGGAGTTTATAGTGGGTGGTTTGTAAAGCTGGACCATTCTGCCTTGCTGTGGGTTGTTCAGGAAAGTCTCATTCTTTCCCTTTTGCTTTTCCATTTGTCCTCCTCCCCACCCTACTCTCCTGGTACTATGGACTGGCACAGCAATCTCAGGAGAGTGACTCCCTGGAAGAAAGGCTGATGAATCCGTCCCCTCAAAGGAAGACTACTAAAGTAGTCACTGGTGTCCTGGGAATTTCTGGTTGGATTGGCTGCCCTAAACCTTGTAAGAGATCAGATCCCAGGATGAAAGTAACAGGCCCATTGAGTAAGAAAAGAAAGCTGTTTGGTTTTCTTTTGAACTATGAAAAGACTCTATTTGTGAAGACAGAGAGGAAGGAGGTCTACAGAACTTTGTTCTGTTGTCTGCTACAACATGTGAATAGTTCAGAGTGAAAACTTTTGTGATGCTTGGTGTCTCAGGAATAAGCTGGATCCCTAATGTTTTGGGGATGCTTTGAGTCTCAGAGTTGATAATCAGAGAAGTTTTTTTTTTTATTTGTTTGTTTAATGTATTCCTGTTTTGATAGTAATTAAACTCCAAATTTTGCTTCACATAGTCTTGGAAAAAAGTTGTGCTGTCATTGGCATAAGAAGCTTGTCCAGGACCTCTTTGTACCCTGGAGCTTGGTTCTTTGGGAATGAGTTTTTCATTCTTCATGCACTGGTAGTGGCATCCTGTGGAAACTGACTCCAGCTAACACCTAGAGCAGTCAGTGAGTTATCTATTGCTGTGTAACGAATTACCTCCAAATTTAATATCTGAAAATAGCAAATGTTGTCTGTCACTTTCTCTGGGATGGGGATTTGGGAGCAGCCCAGCATGATGGTTTTAGCATGGGGTTTCATGAAGATGAAGGCAAGGTGTGGGCTGAAGCTGCTGTCATCTGGAGCTGGAGGATCCAAATTCCCTCTTTTGTGACTGTTGGCTGGATGCCTCAGTTCCTCTTCATGTGGATCTCTCTATAGGGCATCTTGAGTGTCCTCACCATGGTAACTGGCTTCCCCCTGAGTGACTGATCCCAGAGAAGGAGACAGGACAGGAAGAAGGATATGGTGCCTTTAAACCACTACGTCCCTCAGAGGATAAAATCAGGTCAACAGGGAGGTGGATTTGATCTAAATGATAAGCATACATTGCTACCACAAACAGTTCTCTAAGATGGGATGGAAGATAAACTTTTCTTTCCACAGACCTATCTGATAGTTTTGAGAGTGACAAGAAATGATGGTTCCCAGGAGAACTATGATATCTATAGTCTGCCTGAATACCAGCAGCTCAAGGATGCTTATTTGGAAGTCTTAGACTTGTCTCTGAGGCTCATTTACCACTTTTGTATTCCTTTAGCCAGTAATTGACAGAAGGAATTGGGGCCTTCCAGCTGAGCTTCTCAAGCTGTCTTAATTGATTGGGGATTGTCAAGTAAAGGGGAATTACATTCTAGGTTATTGAGCTGGAGAAAAGCAGTTCAGGTTCAGTGTGAAATAGATGATGGTACCAGAAAGCCAGGTCCTCACCTGAATCCCCAGCTCACAGACTTGGATTATTACTCCCAACCAAGAAGCAACCCCTCCATAAACTAGGAAACACATAAGAATTACAAATGTCTGTTCCTGATTACTCTGGCAAGACCAATGAGGTTGGCTCTGTATGCCCGTCTTGTCCTGGGCTTTTTGATGGAAATAGCTCTTAAAGAAAACCAGTTGTTTTTACCCTCAGGAGAAACTTGGAGGTGGCTTGTCGGTTCAACACATCCTTAGTGAATGTCTGCTTTGTGTTTCTGGCACTCATTCCCAAGTCAGCAACTTCAGATGTCTTAAAGATGCAAATTCTTGTTTGGAGTTACACTTTGCCCCTTCCTAGCATTTTCTTTCCTGTAGCCATGAGTACTTTAGCATGTGCTTGAATAAGGAGCAGTGCTGCTCAGGCAGCCATAAGGAAAAGAAATATCTTTAATCTACCTTCCTATGAATTTTGGTTTTCTTACTAATTTTGAGGTAGAGTCAAAATAGTTTTGTTTTTCTGTTTAGGTTACTTTCTCTTTGGAACTCTCAGACCTTGCCTTCCTAGTTAATACCATTAAAGTCCCACATTTCCATCAGAATTCAGCTAGGTCTTTGGGTTTCATTCATCCCAAGTCCATTCTGCAGCCCGTTTGTGGAGTTATCTGCTTTGAATCAAGGCACTGCTCGGCATGTTGCAGCTATGTTCCAGGGATGGAATCTCCTTCCCTCTCCCCATCTTGAATACCAGCTGCTTGAAGGGGGGCCCTTCCTCTTTGCAGTCCCCTTTAGAGGAGGCCCTACTGCCTTTGTCTGGTTCAGAACTGCCTTTCTTGGCATGTTTTCTGGACTTTCAAGCATATGGGCAACTATTTATTAATCTGCGAAACCCAATCACTTACCCACCCTAATCATCTAGGAGGGGTTGTATTTGTTGTAAAGAAACTTTGTCTCTTTGGTAGGGTGATTTCTGTCTGAACTTGGAGGGGGCATAGTTACCCCACAGCTTCTTATCTCTTAGCTTTTAATCAACGATTAAATTAGATCTTGATGCAGGTGGGTCACCATTTTAGAATGCTTATGCTCCAGGGCATTTCCTGTTCTAGTAATGGTTTTCTATTTTAGAACTGGTGTTTCCTTGAGGATAGCTCACAGAAATTTCTAACTGAAGACTGTAAGGATGATAGATGCATATTCCTTTTTCCAATTACTGATTTGTGACACCTTTTCTGCCTATGGGATTAATACTGTTTTTCTCTAGGCAGGTCCTGGAAGTCAATACCTTTTGGCAAAGCTTAGCTTTAGAAGTCTTTTGGATCCCTGTTCAGATGGTCTATGGTTTCTCTTTGTTAACCTCTCCTTTACAGCCCTGGCAGACCATACTATGTGTCATGGATACCCAGTGGAAAGTATTACTGAACTGAAACATGTTTCCCAGGGTATTTAACTCTTACTCTACCACCTTTCTAATACAGAAGGCTGGCAGAGAGATGCTGTATGCGTGATAATCACTTGGCCATGTTGAAATTTCCAAAGGTTGCTCTTGGCGGTGCTTAAAACCAAAATTCCTAGACACTTCAAACTTAGAGAATTCCATGAATCCAGCACAGAATATCCATTCTTGCCTCAGCATATCTCCTTCCTCTCCATTTTAGTCTTTAAAAATAAAACAAATCCAAGCTCAGGCCAAGGGGAACTGCTCCTGGAAAGCAGGAGAGTGGGGAGGAACAATAGCACCAGTGCCTTTCCTTCACCTGCAGAGCCATCTCTTTCCAGGGTGAGAACACCCTCCGCAGTCCCAGGATAACCCTGAAGGAAGGGGTCTTCAGATGTCCCATTTTAATATCTTTATAAACATTTTATAGACAAAGCCCTTCCTTGTCTAGTGCCACCAGTTCCAACCATACTGAATGGAAAGGCGGAAGCTGCCAGCACTTTCTTCCGTCCTCGCCTGTCTTCTTTGATGTGTTGTCCCCTCAGACCTCCCTTCCATTCACTGTTGGGGATGGATAGTGGAGGGCACCATGCAGTCCTGAGGCAGTCCTGTGTGATTTCATGACCAGTTTTTTGTTTTTTAACTGTCCTTCCAAAACCAGCAGGTATTTGGAAATTAGGGGAAAAGTTAAATTCTCAATCAAACAGTTGCTGTTACAGTTAATAAAGACCTTGAGTATCAACTTGGGTGTTTTTTTATGTTTTGTAGTGCTGGGGATTAAACCCAGGGCCTTGCACATAATCACACACTCTACCACTGAGTCACAACCCAGCCCCAACTAGTGTTTTAATGTTTTAAATTTTTCAGATGAATATCTGTTGAGGGTTTCACATTTGGGTAGTCATAGCTGGTGGGGGAGATAAGCAGAGCTAGTTGGTACATTAGGGTTCTCAACATTAATGGAGCACTTTGTCAATTCTGCAAAGGCCAGGCAATGTGACGCTTTCCTTGAGAGCATGACCCCATGTGCTCAGGAGCTTGGAGGTGAATGTATGGGTACTGGGCTGGGATGTACCCAAGGAGGCCTTTCTCAGGGTGTCAGCCTTGAGAAAGCACAAACAGCCTTTCCCTTCTCTGAAGAGGGGCTGCCCTGACCCTTAGGAGTACTTCTTAAACATCCATCATGTCTGATGCCTATTAATAAACTACGCCATGTTGCATGCGCACCAGCTTCCTTGCTGTCATTAATCCAGCAAGTCACGTATTGAGAGCAAGACTGTCCTTTCCTGAGTGGCTGTGAATAGAGGCTCATGGGATAAATTAGACTTGGAGTCTTTCTGCTAGGAACATAATGAAGGTTTGTGGTGCTAGCATTAGAGTCTGGCACTCTGGTTCTAACTGCTGCTTAGGAGCTGTGTCACCTCCAGCAGGATTCTAAGAGCTCTAAGCCTTGGGTTTCTCTAAAACAGGGCTAAGAAGTAACTTCTCAGGTAAAGCACTTGTGGTGTCTGGCAGAGTAAGTTTGATAAATAGCTCTTGTTAAAGAACTCAAGGCCAACCCAGCTGGTGTGAACAACCAGGCCAATTCGGTTGGGTTTCCCTCAGGTACAAGTGTGGGCCCAGCAACTATGCGTGGACCTCTAGGACTAAAGAACTTTGAAAGCCTTTCATACATCCTGTACTCTGCCCCAAGTCATTAGGATAGTGGGACAGGAGCTTCCTGCTAATAAAGGGGTTTTTCAAGAGGGAGATAAACTCCCTAGTGTTTCTGCTCTTACAAAGGTCTTTCCTTTTTTTATTCCTGCCTACTGCAAGGCCCTCCCACTTCCCTGGCCAAGGAGTAAGTAATCCAGTTTTTCCCACTCACAATTCTGACTTGGCACTGTTCGATGAACTGCAGCCCTTTTCCTTGAGAGCAGTTAATAACTTCTATTAGAGGACAGGGCAGTCCTTTCTCTTAAGACCACAAGGCCAAAAAAACCTGATGTCCGTGTATTCCTTATTGTAGAAAGGAGACCTTGACATTTCTAAACTAATGTTGTCGATCATAATTACTATCCTAAAATTTTGTGTAAATTAACTAACTGTAGACTCTTAAAAAAAAAAAAAGGACCACAGAGCCTCTGGTATCCCATGTTGGGCTGCGGTGTGGTAGGTTTTGCCCAAATATTCCTGACCAGGCAGCAGAGACCCTCCCTGCTGCTGCATAGCAAGCATCTTTTCTAGGCAGCCATCAACAAATGGAGTTCTGCTACTTTGTGCCTGTGTCTTCTGCTAGACATAAGGCAAAACCATGCCATCTGGGAAGTTTAATAGAGCAGTTAAATCCCACAAGCTGGGCCTTATCCCCATCTCCCTATAAAGCTTACAAGGCCTGCTAAGCCCAGTCACTTTTTGCTTTCCTGCCCCAGCCCCCATATAAGAACTAACACCTACTGAGTAAAAATCCCAGAAGCCCTGGGTGTGATTTTTCACTCCTCCAGAACGCTGGGTCGGTGGGGTTTGGTTCAAATATTGGGCTTCGAAGGCCAAGGTTGTGATCCAAAACTTGGTCAAAACTAGGGGAACAAATTCTCTAGATGCTATTAAGGACAGTGCCCCTAGAGCTTAGGAGACCAGAGCTCAGCTCTGCTGTGGCCAGGCTGAGGCCACCCTGGGGTCTCATTCAGGAAAGGGAATGGAACAAGCTGATATCAAAAGAAGCCCCAGCACTCCTGTTCTCAAAAGTAAAATGCAAGATTCTATTGTAACTAGATTTTTGTAGATCTCTTTCCAGTGCAGGAAATGAGCGGTGAAGTCAGCTTTGTTGATCAAGGCCTTGAGGTTCCTCAAACCCAGGCTTAACTTTAGCAAATGCAGCCCCCTGCCTAGGCCAGGACTACTGCCTTGACTCCACCAAGGATGCAGCGGAGTCTCAGGTGGGTTTCCACACAACTGGGGTTGTAAGGCCAGAGCATAAGTGCAGGGGCTTCCTGGGAAATAGAGTAGAGGCTAGATTTCCATGTACTCGCATTCCCCATAAAATGGCCCACTCACCCCACCAAACAAAAGCAGAGCCCCTATTTTCACAATGCTGAACTTTAGGGTTTTTGCATCCAGAAGATGGAAATTTGTGCTCAGGTGTTTGTGGTAGAGCTTCCTATAGGAAGCTTGTTTTCCTTTGCTGTTTGCTGTCTTAGAACCCTGAGTAGCAAAGAAGCTGATAATGGTTAGACAAAAAGGGAACTGGCAGTGACTGGATTTAGCAGGCCTTGTAAGCTTTACAGGGAGATGGGGATAAGGCCCAGAGGCCAATCTATAGCTTAAAGCTTATGGCTCTTCTGAGCCTGCCAATAAAACTCGTGACTGAACTCAGGGCCTTGTGCATGCTAAGCAAGTGCTCTACCATTGAGCCACACCTCCAGCCCCTAACAGACCTCTCATATGAATGCCTCAGGATCTGCCACCTTTCATTTTATAGGTCACACAGCTTCTCAGTGGTTGAAGTATAACCACAACCCCATCTCTGGCCACTCAGGGTACGGCCTTCACCCTTGTTAACCAGGAACCTTGAGGCCCTCATACACAGCACACATTGAGACTGGAGTGAATTATCGCCAACTTTAATAGACTTGGATTGTGTCTGCCAAGCAGACTGACAGGGACATCTGAAGGCTCCAGCTTCTGTAGTATAACGTGGCCAGTCCAAGAGGACCAGCTGGTTTAGAAGAATTGGACAATGGCTTTATTGTTTGTGCAACTAATTAGCAAAGACCACACCAAGGAGCCTTTGGATACAACCAACAGATTGCTGCTGGCCATCCAGAAAGATGGGCTCTCCTAACCTAGCTTTAGAGCTAAAAGACTAGCTTTAATTTAATACAATGATACTAATCTTTGGGAAGGGGTGGTGGGTCACAGACCACTTTTGAGAATACACAAAAGCTATAGATAGCCTCAAAAAATAAATGCACATATGCTCCATTGTGTACACAATTTTTTTTCACAAGTTTAAAAAATCGGGAAAGCTCTTGCTGTTGTGGTTTTAGTTGCCACTATCTTTTCAGAAAGAGAACCCAGCAAGCCCCCTGCCAGGCTTTCTCACCTCTCTTCCCAACAGGGGCCTCTGGCTTCAGCAGAGCCCTGCACTTACAGTGGGCAGCCCTTCCTCTTCAGGTCTGGTGGGCACAGCCACTTCTGTTTCTCCTCCCTGGATAGATGCTATTGTGTCTTCCAGGAGCTTCCCAACCTTCTAGAGTGCAGGCCAGTCTGGCCTTCCCCCGGGGCTTGTCAGAGGCACCCACACTCTTCCACGATCATATCCTTATGATGCTCCAGGAGCACTCTGCCATTGTCCACATACAGCATACTCAGTGGCTTGGTCTTTACTGGAGCACAGCAGGTGGAAGGGACCCGGTGGGGCTGGTAGCGTTTTAGCAGACTCTGAAAGGGAAGGGGGAGTGGGTCAGTTCACATTTAAGGGAGGGCAGAATAGTTTTAGTTTTGGCTAAAGAGAGAAACAGTTAGCTGGGCAAAAGATTCAAAGACAGCCTGGGCAAAAAGTTCTCAAGACTCCATCTCAGCCAATAAAAGCTTGGCATGGTAGTGTGTGCCTGTCACCCCAGCTATGTAGGACACATAGATAGGAGGATCAATGTCCAGGCCAGGCTGGGCATAAACTCAAGACCCTATCCCAAAAATAACTAAAGCAAAAAGGATTGGGGCATGGCTCAAATAGTAGAGTACCTGTCTATTGTGGGAGACCCTGAGTTCAAACCCAGTACATGGAAAAAAAAAAAAAGTGAAACCAGTTTCTTAGACAAAAATAGAAGAAAATTGTTTTAATATATCAACTCTAACATCTCAAATAATTTTAGCTTTATTCTAACTCTTAAAGATTTTAAAAGTTACATGTGGACTAAGGGTGTAGTTCAGAAGTAGAGTGTTTGCTTACCATGCGTAAAGCCCTCGAGTCTATCTCTAGCACCCTAAAAATGGTTATATGTGTCTGGATAGAGTGGTAACTTAACTTATATGCCTGTCCTACTGTTCTAGTCTAGAATGAATACCAATTTCAAAAAAATTTCAGTCTGGCACTGGTGACTCATGCTTGTAATCCTAGTTACTTGAGAGGTAAGAGATCAGGATGATCACGATTCGAGGCCAGCCCAAGTAAAAAGTTAACGAGTCTCCATCTCAACCAGTAGTTGGACAGAGTGGCTTGCATCTGTCATCCCAAGCTAGGCAGCAGACTGAGATTGGGAGGATGGAGGTTCCAGGCCAGCCTGGGCAAAAAAGTTTGCAAGATTCCATCTCAATGGAAAAAAAATGGGGTATAGTTGTACATGCCTATCATCCCAGTGATGGTGGGAGGCATAAAATAGGAGGATCACAGGTCCAGGGCAGCCTGGGCAAAAATGAAAATTCTTTCCAGCCACAGTAGAAAGGGCTGGAGGCATGGCTCAAGCAGTAGAGCACCTGCCTAGGGAGTTCAAACCTAAGTACAAAAAAAAAAATCAAGAGCCAGATGTGGTGGTATATAGCTATAATCCCAACACTTGAGAGCAGGACAGAGCCACTTCTAGCACCAGGACCACCACCTTAGGCTCTGTTCTCTCCATCTCATTCCCCTTCCTAACTCACCAATCCTCTGTCTCTCCCTCTACCACCTCCTAGACCTTAAGCTTGTAAGTGGAGCCTGGTGTCAGTCTTTGGCCTTTTCTACTGCTGTAAAATGGATAGTCAACTCCTATCTTAAGCAGCAAAAGTACTGTGGCTGTGACAGCATTATTGTACATGGCCGCATAAACATGACTCCATTTTTATCAGTAAATTAGACTTCAAGTAATGATGATACAACATCTAACATGCCTACTGCCTGTCACCTCAAGTATAGCATCTCATGAAATAAGGCACCGCCCTCCCCAATGCTCACATGGGAAAACTGAGGCTTGATAGAATAAGCAACTTGATAGTTCAAAGTTAATGTATAGGAGTAAAACTCAGGCCTATGAGTTTCCGAAGTCCAGATTCTGAACTTCCTTTCCTAGAATGTCAGGGCTGGGGAAGAGCTGAGACCCTATATTCTAACTCCACCCCCTAATTTTATGAAAGAAAAGGAAAGTCCCAGGAAAGCAGTGCGTTCAACGCCATCCCACAGGGCACAACCCCATACTGTGACTGGGCATCCTCCCCAGGACCTCACACAGGATCTGACATATTGAAAAGCTCAAATGACTGAACACCATAATTTGATAGCAAAGCTAAAGTTGTGCCCCCTGTACAATAGCCTGTCACCATGCCCTGGCATCATACCTGAATGTAAGCATGGTTGGTGGGGTGGAACTCCTCACCCACAGGGTTAGGACACTCGCCCTCACAGCGATAGGCATTATACTGCTTGGGGTAGATGATCCAGGAGCCCCAACCGATCAGATTGAAGTCCACCTGGAACTTGACTTTCCTACACAGTTGGCTTCGGTCTGGTGACTGATGTCGGCGGTTCCTCTTGCCCCACCAGCCCCTCTCCTGGGAGAGCCGTCCTTCCTGTGCCCGCCAGGAGCTCTCTGCTTCCCATAACAAAGTGGAACTGCCCAGCTGCTTCTGTTCCTGTGACAGGTTGGAGTACAGCATGAGGACCACATTGGTGCTGGTGACAGTGACAGGAGGGGTTGAGGGTCGCCGCCAGCATTCTCTAGCCAGACTGGACATCTGTTTCTCCAGTGCTCTGGGGTCCTTTAGCCATTTGGAGAGTGGCCTAGTCACCTCCAGGACCATGCTACCTGAGGAAAAGGTGACCTGGGACAGAGTGACAGTGAACAGCTCCATCCGGAGACGCTCTAGGCAGTCAGCTGGGTCCTGCTCAGCATCCAGCTTTGGCTGATGGAAAATCTCAATGGTTAGCAGACCCTCAGTGGGAAGGTCCACAGGACTGGACAGCTGCAGTCGGAGCTCAGCCCATGCCAGGTCCTCCTCTTGGCTCAGGAAGGAGAAGTCAAAAGCAAAGGTCCAGTTCTGCCCATCCATCTCCACATCTGGGGGAAGAGAAAACCAGGAAAAAGTACGTAAGAGGGGCTGCCCCAGCCTGAGTCACGTCACAACAACCCAAGCTAGTGTACGAGCCCTTACTTCCTTTCTATCTGACACCTCTCATCCTCACCCCACTCTTTCTAGTTATTGACTCTAATGTCATTGAATCCATTTTACAGATCAGGAAAATGGAGGCTAAAGGACTTGTCCCAGGTGTCCATCTTGAAAGGTGACAAAAGCCAGGAGCAAACCTGGATGTTCCTGAGTGCAAAGTCCTCCAAGTCACTATTTTGCCAGCCCCCCTTCAAGGCATCCTCTGCAGTCAGAGAACAATTGGTAAGAACTGGTTGAGTTCCACCTCCCCTTCTCTACTGTCACTCAGTCTTATGGCCAAACCCAAGTCTTCCACCCTAAACCCTGGGCTTCCACTTGTCTGTCCTATGAGCCTGAAGCAAACCCCCTTCTCAGGCTGTTTGCTCAGTAGACAGGGTAGCCTGTTTCACAGACACATTGAGGTAAATGTGAATATGGCAGGAACCTCAGTGCTCTCAGGGAGGCGTAGGCAACAGAGCCTGAAGGCAGCCGCCACCCTCTCTCCATCCTTCCTAAGGAGGGAGAAAGTAACTTCAGGAATTGTCAGTAGCCATACAAATAGGTTTCTCTCCCCAAACACCCCACAACAGTACTGAGGTTTGAGCTCAGAGCCTCACATTTCCTAGGTGGGCACTCTACTACTCGAGCCACTCCACCAGCCCTGTTTTGTGTTGGGTATTTTCGAGATAGGATCTCACGAACTATTTGCCCAAGTTGGCTTCAAACCATGATCCTCCTGATCGCTGCCTCCTAGTAGCTAGGATTACAGGATTCTAAAAGTGTTTTAGGCATAGCTTTGCAGGGACTTCAGTTTTTCATCCAGTGGTCCTTTCTATTTACCTACAAGATGCTCACAAATGCCCTTGCCTCAGATCTTTCACACACCTAAGGCAGACACACAGCAATCACACATCCACACACAGCCCCACTCTACCCACCCAAGTTCAAACTGGGTGAGACTGGAGTAGGTAATACTCCATTTATTTTAGTCCCATACTAATTCTGTCTGAAGCCTGGAACTAGCACATATTTGTGGATTTTCAGGTCACTTTTTTCAAGCCTAACCAGGCTATAAACCTCTTCTTTGCAGTGGGAGTAACAATGCACGAGGGCCCAGGGAAATAAAATGGTTTGAAAAATCAGGAGTTACTCATTAGAAACAAAAACTGGGAGTCTGAAGCCCGTTCATGAATAGACTTTGGAGGTAGTGGTGAGCATGGTTAGGTCCAGTCTGGGTGAACCACATAACAGATAACAGTGTATTTTTTTAAATTGTCTCAGAGCATCTTTGGTCTGGTTTCTCTGGGGAATTCAGCCTGGATTATAATGGGGTAATTCCCAGCTTCAGCCCCCTGGCATCTCCAGCTGCCCTTTTCACTTAATTTCCACTTCCCTCCTCATTAGCACTTGCAGGAGGTAATAACCCGCCCCTGACTAGCAACTCTCTCCAGAGGTGTGGGGAGGACACCCGTGGCTGCGTGGCTGCGTTGCCTTGCAGCCACCTATCTGGAGTTAGGTCGGACACTGTAGCAACTTCTGGCTACCTGTGCCAGTAGATCTGTGATTTGAAAATGTTTTATCTGCAGCTTCTGCAAGTGGCTCTCTAGAGAAAGGCACTCCTGCTTATCAGTTAACAGCAAGGACCCCAGGAGTCTCTCCATTAAAGTTCCAATTCTGCCACTTACTGTTTGACATTGGTTAGGTTCCTTTCCTTCTCTGGGACTCGGTTTCCCTCTTTGTAAAAGGGAGATAGTAACAGGGTCTACCTTATAGGAGTGTTATGATTAACTGAGATAATGCATGTAGAATTCTTTTCCCAGCATACCAAACTCCAGTAAATGTTGGCTGTCTTCAGCTTCCTACTTAGTACCTGAGTTCAACTTAGAAATGCAGGTGTCTAGCCAGGCAGTGAGGCCCTGGACAGGGGCACACAGTCACACACAAACAAGACGGGAGGTGTGCATGGAGAGGCAAGAAGGGACTGCTCCACATCTGTGAGTCCACCCCCTCTCCCCACCAGGGCTTCCTGGACACAAGCCCTGATTCGAGCTCCCTGATCAGGACCCTAGCTCATTTAGAATAGGGGGTTCCTAATCTTTTGGCAATCACTGAAGACAGATGCAAGGTCGGAATGTTCTCCTAGGGGGGAAAAAAGCCCCCAAAAACCCACATCTCCCCAACTAGTACAACAAATGTGACTGGGATGGGTATGAGGAAAGGATTTATGGGCACTCTGAACCCCATCCGTAGGCTGAATGCAGACTTAGCTGCACAGGCCAGTGGTACTTTGGCCCACTTCCAACTCTAAAAAAGGAAGTTGGGTCCTTGGAAGGCAGGGGCTGTAAAAGGCCACTATAGATTGTAAGTGGCATAGCCATTGGCTGCTTCCCACTACCAAATGCTTTACAAGCACTGTCTCCTAATCCCCCCAGCTCTTCCACCCCCACCATTTTCAGATTGGAAACTGAAGGTCCAAGGTGAAGGTTAAACAGTGACACACAGGCAAACTTAATTTTAGACTCCAACTCTCAACTTCAAGCTCTGGTGATGCAGCTTACAAATGCACCCCAGAGGGAAGGGAGCTGGCTTAGGACACCCCTTTTCCAAGCTGGCTTTTCTTACTGCTCTTAGAAAATGAGGCAATTCACAGGAATGTCAAGGTGATTATTGCCACTGCATACTTAAAAATGGTTAAAATGAGGCGGGTGTGGTGGTTCACACTTGTAATCCCAGCTACTTGAGAGGCAGAGTCAAGAGAATCAGTAATGGAGGGCAGCCTGTGTCAGAAGCAAAATACGAAACAACAAAAAAGGGCTGGGGGGCATGGCTCAAGTCCTAGTTCAATCCCCAATATGGCAAAAAAAAAAAAAAAAAAAAGCAAAAAAGGTTAAAATGGCAAAATTTGTTATGTATGTGGTTCGTGGTGATGTGCCACGAACACACAGGCAAATTGGGAAGCAGGACTGAAGGACCAGAACCCATTTTCCACATTCCCAGTCTGTCCCATTCACACACAAACCTTCAAAAACTTTCCAGAAGGAAGTGAATTGGAAAAGCGCGCCCTCCCCCCATTTCCCACATCCCACCTGCGGTGCGTTCTGCTCCCCTGGCGGAGAGGCCGAGCACTCTAGCAAATTTCCCATCGCCTCGCCCTCCAGGGTGTCCCTTGTCTGGTAGGTCCCCAGATGACCCTTCCGGAGAGGGTCACCAGCATCTCACCCCGACTCAGCGGGTCGGGGAGCTAGCAGCCCCGCCTCTGGGCCACGAGGGCCAGCGGGCAGCGGGCAGATCAGATTAGAGGATGTGGATTGCGCCCCCGCCCCGGGGAGGGCCGTCTGGCCCCCGCAGACGGAGGGAGGCACCGGGCGGTAGAGCTGCCCAGGTGGCGGGATGTGGATTGCATCAGGGAAGGGGGTCCTGGGTCAGGGATCCTTCTCGGCACCCACCTGCCCGCCGCGCTCGGTCCCCAGGTCGCGCTGCCTCGTGCAGAGGGCGACACTCTCAGGTCACTGCGGAGTGCTGTCCCCGACACATGTACTCCAAATCAAATCTAGGCTCCTTATCCAGGGTCACCAGGGTCACCTGACACTTCCCGAGCCAGGGCTCGAACGCCCAGGGATGCCTCAATTCTCGACTTCAATACCCCCCATCCCTAATCTCGGTTCTGTGAACCCTAATCTCGGTTCTGTGAACCCTAATCCACGATGTTCCCCATTCGCCCTTCCTCGCAAAAAAAAGAAAAAATTCGACGAGATAATTCCAGCAATAATGACCTTTTATTATTATGCTGGGTCTGAGCCGAGCGTTTTACGAGCGTCGTCCCCAGCCTATTCTACAGATGCGCAAACTGAGGCTCCCGGGCACGTGACTGCCAAGACTGCAAGGGCTGCCGAGATGAGAGTGGCGCAATTAGGTTCCCACCCTACAGTACTGCGCTCTACGCACCCCAGATCAGGACCTGCGAGGCAGTGGTCCCAGTAGAAGATACTCCCTGGACGCTGGGATCCCTTCCCACTCGCCAGCAGCCCTGCGCCCAAGCCTGCCGACACGGAAACACCAGCAGAGCCAGACCCTGCATGTGCCCTTGGAGCCCTGGGCAGGGTACCTTGGACCGCGGCCACCCAGCACCCAGCTGCATCCTCCCCTCACCCCCCGCACACTTCCGGAATCTGGAAGGGGCGTCGGCCCCAGGCGCCCCACCGTGCGGGATGGGCGGGGCGGGGCGCGCAGCCTACCTTGCGCTTGCAGGCTGCGGATGATGTCTGCCCGAGGTAGTGGGTTGCGGTAGAGACTCAGCATGTACGACAGAGGGGACTGCGACGAGGGCTGCCCCGGCACCCATAGCGGCACAGTGGCCACGCTCGCGGCGCCCGCCTGCAGCAGCACCCACCAGGCGTGCAGGAGGAGGAACGGGAGGTGGTGGGCGCGCATGGTGGGCTGGCTGGAGCTGAAAACTGCGCCTCCGCCCCTTATATCCTGGGCCGCCGCTGCCCCGCCCCTGCCCTTCCTCCCTCGCGAGCAGCTTTAAGAACCTATAACCTCCCTGCAAGGGGAGGAGGATGCTGAGGGTGCCCCTGCTGTGGGAGGGTGAGATCTGTGTCTGATAAAGAGAAGACCCACAAAAGGGCAAAAGGCCTTGGATCCAGGGATGTGATCTGGGCTCCTTGTCTGTGGGTCTGGACAGCCTGGCACCTTGCTCCTCTAGCTAGAAAATCTTATTGCTGAGACAGAGCAGGCTTACTCCCGGCGAACTCCCAGCAACCTAATTGCGGCTTCCTTGCGCTGGAGATGTAACTTAGTGGCGGAGCATTTGCCTAGTGTGCACGATACCCTAGTGCTATCCTCAGCACCACAAAAAATGGCTTCCTTACTGTGCCTCACCTGGAATCTTGTCTGTCCCCTTCCAGTTCCAAAATGATGTCTGGAGCATCAAGAAGCAGATAGGGAGTTCTGGGGAAAATTCTCAGCTTCTTGGCAGGCTGAGCCTAGGGTAGTTTGCCCAATCTGGCTGTAAAGGTGCAGCTTTCTGTGGCAGGGCCTGTGTGGAGGGTCAGCCTCCAGCAAAATAGTGGACACGCTATGTTCGCAGAAACAATGGTGAGCTTCAGGAAAAGGTCCATGGGAGCCAATGCCAGCTTCAAATATGGAAGTGCTCTCCTGGGGAATGGTAGGAGATGAAGACTTCATCATTGAAAAAGGAAGTGGTCCGTACAAGCTGAAGTCCCAGGTGTAGCTAACATGGATGACTTGGATGACAGCAGGCTCTTCTCCCTGGCAGGCACCTGTCACCTCAATGATGTTAAAAAAAGAAAAAAAGGTGTTGCCTGCAGTGGCAGGGCCACTGGAGACCTGGGTTCCAGTCAGGACCAAGCACTCCATCTCCCTGAACCCTGCACCTTATTTCACAAGGAATTAAACTCTGGTTATTTACTCTATCAAAGTAACTCTTTATCAGACTTATTTCTTAGGTTTATTGGGGGGATGCTTGATATAATAGTGGATATAGGGAAATGCCATATAAATAGATCTAAAGTTAAAAGGGTAGAAAATTGTTTTCTTGAATTCATAGGAATGAAGTAGTTAGGAGGAAGGTCTTGAAAATGAAATTGGTTGTGAAAATTTCTAGTGTGTGTGGGTCATACAATGCTACTAAGAAAAGGATCGCTGTTAAAGCCTTAATATATAATAATGTTAGTATATTCTGCAATGATAAATAGGACAAATGGGCCTGTGACTTATTTGACTTGCAATGATCCTTGCGTTGCCTCCCTCGACAAGGAAGTTCAAGGCTGGAATTACCTTTAAAGAAATGTAAATTCCTGCCCCGGAGTCTGGCCTCTCTGTTTTCTTCAATGCTGGAGGGCTTTCTTCTCTGTGACTCCCCACCCCCACCCCTTCCCTTTTCCAGCCAGGACGAGTGCATTAGCAGCTTGGCTAACGTTCACTGAACACTTACTATGTGCCAGGCACAAGGTTAAGTGCTTTATACACTTTGGCTCTGCAACAGGATGTTTCCAGTTCCAAAGAACCATGGGCCCAGACCTGAGCAAGTGTTAGAAAATGGAAGGAGGCCCAGCAGACTCCACGGGGAGCTGCAAGCCTGTGTCCTCCAGGAGGAAGCTGTTCCACCCAGTTGAAAGGGGCCTGGCCCAGGAATCCAGAGACCCAGGTTGCAACCTATCATGGGCCCTGACAATCCAAAGAAATTTAGTGAACATGTCAGTAATTAGCACTGTGTCCAGACTTGCCGGAGAACAAGTGTTTCCAGAGGTGTTTGCTAAACCCTGGATTCCTGAGTCCCATCCAGATTTTCAGAATTTGAATTTGGAGAGAAGACATGGTAATCTACGTGTTTAGCAAGCACCCCAGTGATTCTTATCAGAAGGATTTGGGAACCTGGGTGGGCCAAGGTTCTACTTGCAGTTTGGAACCCATCTTTCTAAATTCAGTTTCCTCCCATGTAAAATATAGCTGAAGATACCTCTTCCTGTGCAGATCGAGTGAAATGAATGTAAAAATGCTTCACAAACTCTGTAACTACAAAGGATTACACACACACACACACACACACACACACACACACACACACACACGTTGTTCTTCTGCCCTAGCCCAGGATTCCCTGGCTGTGAGCCCCTGTCTTCTTCCCAGAGGCTAGGGACCTCCTGCTCATATGCATATATAAATCAATAATAGACTGAGGGAGGGGCTGGGGAAGGGGTTGGCTATGGCATGGCACCAGGAATGGCAATACATGGGATGAGGGGAGGTGCCAGGAAGGACAGCAAGTCAACTCCAGATCCCAAGCTTCCTAATACTGGCGTCTTAGAATTCAGGTTATCCCTGGCAGCTATGTCCATCAAGATTGGGAAGAAAGGGCTGGTGGAGTGGCTCAAGTGTTAGAGCTCCTGCCTAGTAGGCCTTGGGGTCAAATCCCAGTAACATCAAAAAGATTGGGGAAAGAACAAAAAAGGTGATATATCTACTTTGCACAGTGGACTAGAAGTTTCTTGAAATTAAGAATGAAGCTCTTTGCATCCTGTGTCCCTTGCACTATGTGCATTTTTAAGCTGTTTTTAAACTTATCTTATTGGCAGTACTGGGGTTTGAACTCAGGGCCTCATGCTTGCAAGGCAGGCACTACCACCTGAGCCACACCTCCAGCTCACTATGTGCATTTTGACTGAGTTAAAGTGCATGATAACAGCAACTGCTAATATTTGTCAGGTTGAAATGTATCAGCCATTCTGCTAATCTTTGTGTAGATTTTATCATCATTTGTACTTCAGAGATGAGAAGACAGAGCTCTGAGGGAGCAAGGTAGCTTGCTGGAGGCCACAAATACACCAGAGGAAGCAGCCAGTACGTGAAGGGTGAGTGGGCTTGTCACCCAAGCTCTCTTTTAGCCCCTAGTGTGTCCCCATAGAAGATGAGTGGGAGAGTGGCTTGTACTGAGTTTTTTTAAGCTCTTGAAGTCTTGTCTTTCTCAGGGTTCGCTGCTGCAGACAGCACATTTCTGATGTGGATTGGCCTAGAGCTGCATGGGGATCTGGAATTTCTCTCAGTCTCAGACTAGCAAAAGCCACTGCAACGTTTGACAAAGCTTGTTCATCTCCTCGATTTCTCAGGCTCTGACACCATGGAAGAACCCAAATCTTTGTTCAGAACAGAGTCTAACAGTCATCCTTTTTTGTTGAGGACATCAGTTAGTCTGCAGTCTGTTTCCTGCAAGAAAGACCAGAAGTGCCCTTTTCCCAGGTGGGGAGTGACATCTCACTTCCCCTGCCTCAGACAGACTGACCGACATGTCACCTGACCTAGGAGATAACCTCAGAGGCCAGCCCAGCTGGCTGGAGGCAGGGGCAAAGTCCCTTGAAGTTTTCCAATGCTCTCCATCAGGCTGTGGAGGACTGTCCCTCCTGATCTGAGCAGCAGCGTGCAGTGTAGCTTAGTACATGGACCCTGAGGTCAGGCCTCCTGGCATATCTGGCCAGCCACTTACCATGTTGAAGCTGCCACTTGCTTGACTGTAAAATGGATATAAATGATAACATCTAATTAGCAGGAATGTCATAAATAGCAAAGGTGTATAAAAAGCTTTGTGGATGTAGCATTTGGTTACTCCTTTCTTCATTAATTGAATAAACCTGCTTATCCAGGGAGTCTACAGCACATTAACTCAGACTAGATTCTCAGGGAGTTAAGAACACATTTAATGAGCATTTGCTGTATGCCAGGTTTGACACTGGCGATCTTCACATACAGTCATCCCTCTGTATCTGAGGGTTCTGCATCTGGGGATTCAACCAACCTTGGACAGAAAAGACTCAGGGAAAATTGCATCTGTACTGAATACATACAGACTTTTTGTTTTATCATTCTTCCCTAAACAACACCATTTGCCCAGCTTTTCCATTGTATTAGGTAGTACAAGTAATTAGAGATGATTGAAAGTGTATAGGAGGATGTGCACAGGTTGTATGTAAATACTGTGCCATTTTATGTAAGGGACTTGAGTGTCTGCAGATTTTGGTACCCACCAGATGTCTAGGATACTCATGGACAACTGTGTATGTTAGCCTCTGAAAGCCATAGAAGAGGAATTGCACAGCAACAGCTTTGTGAGGGTGGAGGGCACCTGCCTTATCACACCCCTCCATGCCTGGCACAGCTCCTGGCACACAGATACTAAAAAAGTGCTTGCCAAGTGATTAAATGACTCCCTACCCCTGAAACAAGATCCTAGGATTCTCACCTTTCATAGACTCTTTCTGCTGTATCTTCCTGGTAAACTCTTCCTCATCTAACAACACAGTTTAAAAGTCCCCTCTATAAGCCAGCATTCCCTCACCCCCAGCTATTTAGCAAAGCCCCCTTCTAAGCAAAGCATCATAGAGTAGTTGTCTAAACTCCCTCCAGTGACAGCCATCAAACAGTGAGCTACCTAGAAGCAGGGGCAGCTCCTGACTCCTGATTCAGAGCCCAAGCCTCTGACTCATAACAGACCATTGCCTGCTGTTACCTGCTGCCTGAGTGAAGGAATCTGATCCCCAGAATGGTAGAGGTGGGTCTGAGCACAGCTCCTGCTTGCAACTTCAGTATGTTCCCACCCATTCTGAGACCCACCCTCTGGGTCTTGAAGGTTGATATCCAGAGCTGGGAGGTACCATCCAGGTGACTCTGGGCATATGGGGCGCTCTGTGGTCTGAAAGTAGAGATAGGTCCTGATCTGCTCTGTTGCTCACACCCCTCCTCTCCAAGAGAACACCAGCCCCACTGAAACACCCTCCCTTTCCCAAGTTCAAAGCTGTTCTTTCTCTACTGAAATGATTTTGTGCCTTCTTTATTTTCACAAAATATTCCTATTAGCTGGGCACAGTGGCAGCTACTTGTGAGGATGAGGTGGGAGAATCAGTTGAGCTCAGGAGTTC